CCAAAACGATTCGCTTGCCAGTTCCTTTGTCCAGGCGTACTCCACAACGAGGAAAATAAAATTCGTGAAGGCAAGAGGCAAGATACGAATCTCGACTCGCTTGAGGCAAGCCGCCAGGAGAACGACAACTAATAATTACTTTTGAGACGAAAGGCCTTCGTTGCGTTTGTTTTTGAGTGCGACATGTTCATCTTCCTCGGACGCGACACAAAGTTTTGAGTCACGTGTCACGATTACTATGGGAACAGCATAGTATGTATGCTGGGTTCCGTGATGTCCTATCTAGGACATCACCAGGACTGGTCACGGGTGCGAGTCAACCCCTGTGACACGGATTTCTGTGCCGTGTCACCTCCCTAGTGTGAGTACGACTCCCTGGTTTTCAGCAACTGGCGCACCCCTAGTACCGGTACATGTAGAAAGGGTAGGACTAAGTAAAGGGACAAGCTTATCTATTTTTGCGGATTTTCTTTCATAAAAAATAAACGTCACAGGCTGCTCTTCGGAGGTGTCCGCGTCCCAGCGGTCCGAGCAAGCGACCGCATCTCAGCGGGACACTTGTCCGTGGCCTTTGTACTGGAATCTGTGGGAGAGCCTTTCCAGGGACTACACACCTGGGTACCGGGTATGGACAAATCCCCGGTGTTGCTCCTTTGTTGTTCCTTTCCTTTTTATTTGTTTTTGTTGAGAAAGAAACGTTGCTGCATGAAAAGCTTTCTGTTCACGCCAGCGCCTTTGGCATTTGCTCTAGTAACATTGCTGGCTGATAATGGTCATTGCTCGTGATGCCAATGGTGAAGAGAAGCTGGGTTTCTTGCCATTTGAAACTTCCTGATTCTGAAAATGTAGCTTGAACTAAGAGCTCCAAGTATCAAGTTTAGTTTTTCGTTGTGCCAGACCTATTGTTAGAAGCTGCAGAGATGAGGAGCAAGGGCCTAGCCTTGGGAGGCGTTGGATTAATGCCAAAAATGGTGTTTATGGCCCTGAAGACGCCAGCAGTTTTCACTTGTCAGGAGGACAGCCAAGTTGGACCAGGCAGATGACAGATTATTTTGAGCATTTATAGCAGATCGTCTCAGCACCTGCCACTGTGCGCTCTCCCAGAATTGTATGCAGAAGTTACATGCCTGTCACAGTGTGCAATGAACAACGCGTTTGCATTGCTTATGGATGCAAGCGGATGGAGTGTAGACCAGATGAGAGAAAGTGATCCGGATATTCAACTAGCTTGGACTGCCATAAATTGGCCTGGTGCCTGGACCATCTGAACATTGCTCCGAACCAATCCACAGAAACAGTACCCACACAGGAAGCCAAATGATAAACCCATTCATCAGCTATCGAACCTTTCATCAAAACGTAATGCAGTGCATGCCTACTACTACTACTAATCAAACGAGATCAACGGATGCCACATCAACAGATACAACGTGGAGGCCCAGTATTTTCAAGAACACAGTGCAGTCTAGACAACTAGAACAACGGGTCTTGCACCTAAAATCCCTGATTTGCTTGCCGTATTTAGGTCCTTGCAATTCTCCGAGGGTTATGTACCACAGTATGAGATATATGAGGGATCCCGGCAGCATGATAGATCCATCGGTACGTGAAATTCTCCTGGACGTTTGTGTGTGGTTATAGTGGTACAGGACATGTGATGTACGCCTCTTTGGTCGCTCACACATGATCCATTGCCAGATTTTTGTTACGCTTTTTGTTATGACTTACGCTGGTCTGCATACCCACCCACTCTACTGTAAAAAGTAGAGACTCTCGCTTGCCATTAATTTATCCGATAGTTTGACTCTCTAGAGTATCCCTACTACATGTATTATATGATAATTTATATTACCAATGCTCTAGACAGCAAGCTGTTTTACAATTATCCTTCTACGTGACATTGTATATCTTCTTGACACCATGACTTTCTTTGAAGGTCTTGTAGCTATGAAATGTTATTTGCTGCAGGTCATGTGTGTGTGTGTGTGTGTGTGTGTCAGCTAGTTCGGTTGGTGGGTACACTTATGCCGGATAGTGTTGGGTCTGTTGCCAACGGGCTCGGCTGCTTGAAGGTGTAATGTTGTACCTACCACCTTTGTTGGTTTCAGGGTTCATATACTTTCTATTTGAAGTATACATACCTGTTACCCATGGACTACTTCTGGCTAGATTAACTCTTGTGTAATCATGGTGCTAGTGAAGCTTGTATCAGATCCACTCTGATTTGGCCACCCACACTAGTAGCAAGTATTACCTTCACTGGGGGCAGGGGTAACTGCAGTTGGATCCCGGGACGGATACCCTGATGCCGCCAATCCTTTTTCTGCACCTTGTCCTCACCCACTTACTGAGGTGTGGTGAGCCCATAAGTGGGATTATTTTCAAGTCCACCCAGAGTTTTGGGGATTTCAGGGGGTGTCGGCCGTTGGGCGGTTCTATAGCCAATTGAGTCATCTTTCCAAGATTCCTTTTGAGTCTCTCTCCCCTCTCCTGGGGAGACCCACGTGACCAGTTTTGGCAGTGAGCAACAAGTACAAGTACAAGTACAAGTGTGTGTGTGTGTGTGTGTGTGTGTGTGTGTGTGTGTGTGTGTGTGTGTGTGTGTGTGTGTGTGTGTGTGTGTGTGTGCATGCGTGAATG